AGCATACACAACAAAATTTTAATATACAATCAGGTCATAAAACCCATTTGGCTATATGGGATCCAACTTTGGGGGTGTGCCTCCAAAAGCAACATTGACATCATTCAGCGATGCCAAAATAAAATTCTCCGAGCTATATTAGGTGCCCCATGGTACGTAAAAAACAAGGTTATACACCGAGACTTGGGAATTCCCTCAGTCGCAGAAGAGGCTAAAAGATTCGCTCGCAAACACTATGACAGGTTACTATTACACGAGAACTTAAACATGAGAAGGATCTTTCAGGACATTGAACCTGTCAGGAGACTTAAAAGAAGGAAGCCGCACGATTTGTTGATATAGCAGTGAGGAAACGGAATAGCGTCTAAGATCGGGTAACATCACTGGATGCGTGCCCACCACCCCCAGATTCAAAAGTGAAAAATGAATTGCTAGATGAGTCACTCTGACTCAGTTGCAGTATTAACAAAGAAAAAAAAAAAAAAAAAAAAAAAAAAGAATTAAGATAGGTCATACATACACATGCAGGGACATTTTATAAATAGATTGCTCTTGTTTACCTGCTAATAAAATATGAAAAAAGAGCACAGCAAAATTTTTGAAGCACTCAATATAACATGTTTGAAATAGTTTTAAAATAATTATTTAAAAAAACATTATTGGAAGTAGGCACATACATATTTATTTTTAATAACTCAAAAACTAACTGAAATTATTTGAAACAATTTTATAAGTAACGTATAACGAAAGAAAGGTAGGAGGAACGAAAAAATGATAAAAAATTTGAAATTCATATTTCAGTATGGTTTCAAATGTTAATGAGGAAGGATGTATGATTTTTCATGCACATTTTGTATTTCCCAATAAGGTAAGTTGAGTAGTGTCGGCTAACAAAAATGTTAATAAAAGTAATATAGGTTGACACATTTCAACAATTTGAATTATCGCATTTCATTTATTTATACGTTACTTATTAAATTGTTTCAAATAATTTCAGTTAGTTTTTAAGTTATTAAAAATGAATATGTACGCACCTACTTCCAATAAATTTTTTTTTAAATAATTATTTTAAAACTATTTCAAACAACTATTGAGTGCTTCAAAAATTTTGCTGTGCTCTTTTTTCATATTTCATTAGCAGGTAAACAAAAGCAATCTATTTATAAAATGTATATGTACGACCTACCTTAATTCTAAACGGAAAGAATTTTAAAATACCTGAACAAAAATTTTAAAATACCTGTTATTTTACAGTCGGAATTTTTGAGTCATTTGGTAAAATACCATTTATTTCAAAAATATTCAAATCCGGTCATAAAAATATATGATTGTTTTTTCCAAACATTTTAAATATATTTTTTCTTAGGTAATTGATATAAATGATAGTAAGTTTTTAATATTTTTCAAATAAAAATAGAGGTAAAATTTTGAAGTTTATATGAAATTTGTATTTAACAAATAGTATTTGATTGTATTTTGGATGTTATTTTCTAATTCCCTCTTCAAATTTTTTCTTTACTATGTATTTATATCAATATTCAATAAATACCTTTCATTAATTATATTTTCAACTTGACACCACAGATACTTCCCATATCTTGAGTTAACTTACCCTATGAGAAAAAAAAGCTGTTTACTTAAAAATAATGAAATGCTTTCAGTAACTTATAAAACGTTGAAGGTGAAGGATGTGCTTGTTGTTTTTCCGCAATTTCAAGAATTTTAAAGTGGTTATGAATGAAAATATTAATATATTTTCTTGATTTTTCAAGTATATTTTTAGAATTTTACCTGCTTTATAATAAGTGTAAATTTATTTTAATATTTCTTCTCAAAAAATAGCCACTTCGATTTAAAAAAAACCCATATAAAATAATGTCGTGCTTTCAAGTTTCTCTCTGAGCATTGGGACTTATTAGATATAAAGACATTAATAACAGATCTGTCTAGTATTTTATTATCTAAAATATATTAGTATCTGTCTAGTATAAACTTTATAAAACTTGAAAAAACTTTAGTTTTAACTAAAGTTTTAGTATGCTTGCATAAACTTTCTGAGAAAAATAAGCGAAAATTATGACGTCATCGTTTTCTCAATGTTTTAAAGTTTTTTTTAAGTTGTGTAAAGTAAAATTTTGGGCCCAGGCAAACACGCAATTTTTAGTTTCGCAATTTCTGCTTTACTGAGGAATCGTTGCCTGCACAAATTCAAATCGAATGCGTTATATAAAAATTGCAGTCGGTTTGTAAAAAATTACATGATTGCTTAATTGCATGCGACCATACAGTTGCATATGTGCACTAATTATAAATCTATGAAATACAAAAAAGCAATTAAATAGTTATAAAACTAAAAATTGCATGTCTGGCTGCGTTCCTGTTGTTTTAAAAACTTTTAAGCTACCAAAACATATTTTCTTCTTTATGTATATACCACGGGTGACCTAAAAACTTTTGTAATGTCAAGGTTTATAATATACTGTTGATGTTTGAAACAACGAATTAGAAATACTTCACTAAATTTATACTTTTTACTTATACACCCAACCCTCGATTTGCACGGTAGATTGGTTTCTCAAAACTACCCTGTAAATCGAAAATCGTGCAAACCGAATCCACATTTTTTTAATATTGAAAATTGGAGATATACATATCTTACAAGTCCACAATAGGTATGATATCAATTGACAATTCAGAAAATATTCCTCAAAAGGAAATAATGAAACCATGTTATTTATTTTTCTATAATCTCTTGTTTTCATGTTATTTATTTTTGTATAATCTCTTGTTTTATTATTATTAATAAACTAACAAACAAAAATTTAAAAAAAGTTCATTTTAATTTGAAAAGCAATAAGAAAAATTAAAAAGTTCATTCTGTATCATCTTCACTTGTTAGAAACACGATAGCTCTTTTCTTGTTTCCTTTTCGAATATAACAGTGATTTATGATTGAAGAACATTTACTTTTAAACCTTACACTTTCGAAAAGAAATATGTACTGAAATAAGTACACATAATTTATTCAACAATGTATTCAAGTTAGAATAAAGTGCTAGCTAGCAACGGTTTAAAATCTTACGCCTACTTAAATTTAAAAAAAATTTCTTCCTTGAAAACTTTTGTACATACATGATTTATTCAACTGTTTAAGTTTACTGTTAAATAAAAAAGTGCTACTTAGCAATGGTTTAAAATCTTGAAAACATTTTTTTTTAATTTATATGACCGTGCTAAACTGAAATAGTGTCGTGTAAATTGAGGTTTTTCCCCATTTCTCCGACCGTGTTAAACAGAAACCGTGTAAATAGACTACCGTGTAAATCGAGGGTTAAGTGTACTTTTTTAAATGAGAGTTTCTATTTCCTTACGAGAAGTGACGTCAGGTCTTCTCATTTTAAAGTTTTTTCAAGTTTTACACCAGACAGAAATATGTATGTATGTATATCTTTTTCTATGTTGTTAAGAATTCGCTCAATTTAAGTTATCTGACATCTGTTCTTTTATTTCACTTGTGTGGAAAGTAGAGCAAACTGTTTATTTAGAATGTATTTCAGTATTCTAAGCTATAGCAAAGAACGGAAAGAAAACTTAGCTGGCCATCATGAATTAAAATTTAATTGAGTGAATTTTCAATATTTATCTTGTTAAAGCATTATTTTTACAATTATTTAATTATTAGATATATTATAATTTTACAAAATTTAGGAAATATTTCTCTTTCTAAAATCATACTCATATATGTACATATATGAAACCAATTTTACTTAAGCTATAAATAAAAAATACAAATAAAAACCACCATATTCAATTTTGCCATCGCCATTTTTTCATTATAATTTTTGTCTAAAACAATTTTTGTCAGAATTGCACAATTGAATGTCAAAATGGCACAATTTGTAAATGGAAAAAGTACTTAGTTAACGGATTTTTTAAAAGGCAAATTCTATGTTTTCTTTCGAAACATCATGAAAAATAATCAAAGCAAAGAAATCTGGCGAACAGAAAACAGACTAGGAAGCGATTTTGTTTTGTAATCTAAGGCTCGATGAACAAAATTTTTATACAGTTTTAGTTTTTTGAATATGCTAAAAACCATGATTGAAGTGGTTAATTTTCTAGTATACATATTTTAGATTTCATTTTTAGTAAAAAACTGCAAAACTTTTTGTAAATTTTATTCAGTTTTCTGTAAAAAGGAAGTTTTATAAAACTTTACTGCAGCGTTCACGTATCAAAATTCGGGCCTAACAAAATAATGGTCCAAATCTCGTTTACTTCAACACCTCAATGCCCAGGCGCCATGCGTATTCCTGTTTGTGTTCGTTCAAATTGTCTGCCTAACCTTTTACGATGTGCATTAAGCTGTCAATCTGATATTTGAATGTACATATGTATGTATGTATGTAAATTTTGATCAAGGATATAAACATGTAGTGTAATCAAAGGTGAAAAATACCTGGAAGACATCGAACATTCAAATTTTCAATTTTAATATTCGTTTCCGGTATTTAATCAAACTTTTTGCCTTGTCTTAAATTTTTCTAATTATTTTTATTTCTTAATTTTTTTTCTAACTATGCTCAATTAACATTCTCTTTCACTTGCCACACAATATTTTCCAGACATTTTCATTTAAGATTTGTAACCACTTAAAATTACGTATGTATACCAGCGCCTCTTTGTGATTTACCGTACAAGTAAAATTTTCGTCTATTTTCGTTATTTAGTTTTAAAGAATGTATTGAAATTTTGATCAAAAAATATGTAAATTGAAATGTATTACTCGCGATAAAAATTAACGATGTTAATCATAACAGCCCTGTATTTGGAAGAAGCTCAAACATTAATTTTTACTTTATGTACACACAAATATAGAATTCAAATGTGTATCAAATATATAATTATTAATTACAAATAAATTCAGCTGATTTTTCCAAAAATCTTACACAAAAATATTTTTAGAATGTTGGATAAATCAAACACAAACTTCATAGCTGTTGTATATTATTTTTTTTATTTCCTAAGTATGTAATTTATTTAATAATGCGTTTTTACTAGGTTATACATGTTTATGTATCGTGTTTCCAAAATCAAAAAGATTAGCTTATAAATTACATATACATACATTTCGTAAAAAAAAAATTTTCAATGTAAATTCATTTTAAAATTACTTTCTAAAGCTATCAATAAACGTAAAAACATTTCTTTATACATTGCAAATACAATAAAAAACGGTTTACCGCCATTCTGCGCCTTTTTGGTGGTTTATCAAACGTTGATTTAGGTTAAATCTTTTGTTGTTATGTCTACGAAAGCAATTACTACCACTATTATGAATACGGTTCAAGAAGTTATGTTGGTTATAAATTTTACTACCAATATTATTAGCTTTGTTGTATTGATTATTATTATTATTATTATTATTATTGTTGTTATTGCTATTGTTATTGCTGTTATGATTAATGTAGTTAGGATTATCATTTCGGAAAAAGCAATTGTTACTGTTACTTTTATTATTTTTATTTAAATGATTACTTTTGCTATTGAAACTATTCGTATTATGGTTATTAGTTTTATTACCATTAAATTTGTTGCTAAATTTGTTATAGTTATTGTTATTAATATTATCGTTATCATTACTATTGTTGCAATTACTGTCATTACTATTAATATTACTATCGCTGTTATATTTATTATCATGATTGTTACTACTACCATCTTTATTATTATAATTGTTTTTACCATTAGCTATTTTGTTGAAATTGATGTTACAATTATTATTGTCATTGCTACTATTAGACATATTATCAAAACCATGATTGTTATTAAAATTATTTTGATAATGATATCGAATAGTGGTATTTAGTTTGCTTGAATTTCTATTTGTATTGTTGCCTGATACCCAATTATGACGAACATGTTCAGAGTTCTTTTGTAGCTGCTGCTCTTGGAATGGATTATAGCCCGGATTAGAATCGTTTTGCCTGTTGCATGTATTTTTAACTTTTTTCTGTCTCCCCCGATCAATCTCATTTTCTTCATCATTATGCATCTGTCTCTTCCTTTCCTGGCGGGTTTCCTCATTTATAACAGTATCCATTTCTGATTTTGTTCCATTCCAACTTAAAACATTAGCTCCATAACCTCTGTGAGAATATTTTGTCAACTCCTTAATAGTTGGGCTTTTTTCTTCTTTTTTTGTGTAAATGCTATTGCCTCCATTTGAAGTTTTGTCAGAATAAAACATGGAAGTTGGTATCGGAGTACCATTAGAATTGAAAGGGTTTGAATGTGTTTTTGTTGTACGGTGCTCTTCACTTGATTCAATTTCTGCTTGTGGACTTCCACTGGGGGTAATTGGAGTAACCTGCCATAAACCGGCTTTAGTTTTCACAATATGCGGCGAAGGGCTGCCTAATTTAATACGTTGTGCTTCCGGACTAGCTTCAGGAGTTGACTCATTCGAAGTTGAAAAACCACATTTCTTTGTTTCTCCATTTAGTTTATTGAATACGGATTCACTAATTTTCTCCTCAATTTTAGATTGATTATCTCTATCAAGTTTAGCTTTCTTTGTATTCTCATTATCGCTCGAATCAGTAGTATCTTCATCTCCATCAGATCCGTATGGAACAAGACTTTTAATAGGTGATTTTTTTATTCCGTTAGACATCAAAAAATTTTTATTGTTGGCATCGCTTTGTTGATTTTGTTTCATCATATAGTTTGACGAAAGTGGACCAGCCCATGAAGAAGGTTTATTTATTATTTTACTATTTTGATTAGAATTGTTTGTTACTGAAAGCGCTCCAGAATTATCAAAATTAGAATCTAACTTAGGCATACTCGGTAATAATGAAGATTTATTAATTTCAAGATTTTGTTTCTCTTCCTTTTTTATTACAAATTCAGAAGTTGAGCTGCCACAGACATCTTCAACAGATTGCTGAACCTTAAAACTATTACTTGGACTTTTCATCAAATTAGTTTGGTTCTTATTTATTATTTCAGAATCATTTTTTTCAACCTCCACCGCATTCTGATTTCCATTAGCGTTTGAGGATGAATTTTTGAAATGGATGAGCAATTTGCTGGCATTAGTTGATAATTTGCTTGAAGATAAAGCTAAATTCTCTGTAGGCTTGACATCGTTGCAAATTTGTAAATCTTTTTTTGACAAAATATTATTTGAGATCCCTTCACGCGACATTTCAAGCGGTAACTGAGGTCCAATGAAAGTATTACTGTTTGATAAAATATTATTTGTTTCGTTTTCATTTTCAGAAGCAAAGTCTAATTTACTCATAACTTTTGGACTATGTAAACCATTAATATTTTTCGTTACACTTTCATTATTAGATGTGCAACTGTCGGTATTTTTCTGTTGAATTGAGTTCTCGTTATTTTTAATTAAATCATTTTTAAACATTTCACTTTCACCACTGACCTGGGTGCATACTGGTTTTGAGTGATGATTTTCATCCAGCTCGTAAAATATAATATATGCATTGGTGTTTAAAACGTTTGGCAGGGAAATTGGTCGCACACAACTGTCATCAAATTGGTAATATCCACCTTGATCAGTCAAACCAATTGCAGTATAATGTCCACAATGTTGGGAAGCTCCTAAGTGAGTTACCATTGCAACCAATTTGTAAGAAAGAGACTCACTTCCGTTTTTGTTTGTTGCATATTTCGTTAAATCTAATCGCGGTCTAATAGCAATATATTTATTAATTTTGGTACCAACCATTGAAAATCTTTTTAGCTGTATACATAATGATATTGGAGCTCTCTCTAAACTAAATTGTTTTATAGCCGAAACCTTTTTTTTACATGATTCACACTTATAACCCATATCTTCCAGTCTTTCTTTTGCAAAATAACCGTCTAAAGCTTCTTCGATTGTATTTGGCTTTCTTATATCTAATAATAAGTCTTGAAAATGTTGAAAAGTTGTGGAGACATGACCACACGATAAGCAACGTACGGAAGTTTTTAAATAACCTCCCAAAATTTGATTTAATGGTGTAGTTTCTTTGCTATATTGATCCAATTCTTTATAATTTTTAAAGCGTAATAGATAGGACTTTTCCATAGCTTCCACAAGATATCTCAAAAATTCATGAGCATCCTCTTGGCGTCCAAAAATTAAGTGCTTACAAATTTGCTTTAAACGACTGTATACAAGTTGCGGTCTTATGGCGGAAGAACTAACTTGAGAACAGATTAATGTTTTTGCCATAGCACAAATTATACAACCTTCTTGTATGTTATTTTCTCCTCGACATTCCTCTCTATGTTCTGAATCAGAAATAAGCCAATTAGCCATAGCTGGGACGTGAAATAAAGCCTGTAGGGTTGAGTTAAGATAACACGTATTACCAACATTCATCATTCCAGATCCGATCTGCCATTTTCGACCAGAACTTCGCCAACCAACTCGAACACTCTCACGTGGAAATAATATACGTTTTGCTTGTGGTAATCCATTTGAGCTCTTTTGATTTATTTGATGCTGGTAGTTTAATGTACTAAGTTGATTGCCACTTTTTTCAAACACATTATTTGTCACACTTTCACATTGAGAAGTTTGCAATTTGGCATTATTATACGGCTTTAATACTGTATATTTAGTTTTGAATGAATCAAGAACTGATTGATCGTAATTGTTAACTTCTTCATATTCAATTTTTGTCAATAAAATTTTTTTAGCGATTGCAATTATTTTATTCGTAATATTTTCATTACTCTCTGGTTGAGAATTTGTAGTTGAATTTGTAATTGAGTCCCGAAGAGCCGAATGAACGCTCGCCGACTCAATGGATATTGCCATTTTCATTTGGAAAATTATCGTTTTTCAATAGTCCTCTATTTTAAGAAAAAGCAAGATTTTTTAAACAATTTTATTCGTCACCGCGTGCTGCCACTCAACAAATTTATTTATTATAGTCCAGTCTTTTACTTAAAGGGTGGTAAGTGTATTACATTCCTATTGAAAACATACTAATATGTATGTATATGTATATTCTTCGCTATATTAATGACGGCAAAATTATGGCAACGCCAATTTTCAGGTTAACAAGGGATGCGAAAATAACACACTGTCAATTTTCAAGTGGTTGGGTTTTTTAATTCAAATTAGTAAGTCACAATAATTATATATATTTGGCGGAAATATACTCCTCCATTCACAAAACAAAATTTTCATATTCAATTTTAATTATGCATGTGTGAACATAATTGAAAAATAAATCCATTTTTTACGGATTTGACATTTTCTTTCTATTTATCAAGCGAAGTTTGCAGATTAAATTTGACAGCTATGAAATTGGATGAGGAATTTGTTTACAAATCAGGAATTACTTGATAAAATATGTTGTGAAATTCAATTTTTTTATCTACATATATCGAAGTATGTATATCCAAACTGTATAGGGTGATTTATTTGATAAATAAAAATAAGTGAGATATAAATATATTTTCTTTTATATAAAGATAGATAAAAGTAAATAATTTAAAGTCAAAGGAAAAATTAATAACCAATAACTAAAGAAAAAATAATTTGCATCAATGCAATATTAAAAAAGTTAAAATTAAAAACATATAGTTTTCATTAAATTTATTTACCCTCATCGTTATATTTATAATCTTATGATTTTATATTCCACAAGCACTCTTTTTTCAAAAAATTTAGTAAATTCAATTAAATCGTCCACTATTAATTTTTTTGAGCTATTTTCAATTACTTTAGACTATATAAAAAAAAACTTTAAAAATACAAACTTCACAACAAGCAGCTGATCATTGCCTCTTAACGAGTAAAATTTATTTCAAAAACATTTTGAAGCTAAATTATTAATGGAGAGTGCAAGACGGATGAGCTTGCAAGATATGGAACAACCCTCGGAATTCTACCTGAAAAGGGGAACCTAGGCATGCGTCTTAGCACTCTCAGATTTCTGCTACACAGTGCAGTGATGGAGCATACCAATCTCAGATGGGCGAATGGAACATGTGACGCGATAAGGAAGTTGTGCCCAAGGTTAGACTTGCGTCGCACAAAGGATCTGATATCTCTCCGGCGGGAGGACATTGGTGCGGTTATAGGGATTTTAATTGGACACTGTCTGATTGGCAACCATACAAGGAGGATGGGCCGCCCCGCTCTGCAAACGATCTCCTTAGGAGTTGCTGTGACGAGAAGGAGGAAGAAACGGTGACTCACCTGCTGTGCTCGTGTCCGGCGCTGGCGAACTCCAGGCAGAGATTTCTTGGATCCCACTTTTTTGGGCGGGCTACGGACCTAGCGAATGTCTAGCATTAACCTTGGCCAGTCTCTGAGGAACTCGGCTGGTTCTAATGAGGGAGAGGGGAAAGAGCCGGCGATACCGCAACGGACCCAAAGTGTACCTTTCTCGGAGCCGTACAACCTAACCTAACCTATTAATGGATTACAAAACTTTTACTCAAAACATAAAATATATTACTTAAGTTAAGAATCAGAACTTATTATTGATGCTTTAATATTAAGTGTAAACACTATTGAAAGGAGTTTTGGAACAAAATCTTCGTGTAAGAGGAGAACGCGGGCGCCTGGCGGTATTTAAAAGGCTAAAGAAAATTAGATTAAAAAAAATTCTGTTTGACAAATATTAAATAACAATGTTAAAGTTGATGTTAGAGCAACTTTTTATATGACAACTTTTTCTTCAGTTTGGCGGATATATATTCATGAGTCGCATACAGTTCGTCCGGGTGCAGCACAACCAAAATGCACAAAAATGTACATTTTGCATTGGAAAAATGTCTCTCACAGCAAAAAATAAAGCAACACTCATAATCTTTAAAAAATAAGTCCTTAATATATTTCTTTTTATATTCTTTGTCCTTAATACACTTCTTTTTATATTTTGCTAGAGCCGCACGCGGGCCAACTGTAGGAGATTCGTATGTACATAATAACGATATGTGAAATTTTAAACTTATACGTACAAATCATTTGCTTTAATAAACACATTCGAATGTTTTGAAATGAAAAATAAAATATGAAAAACAAATTTTTAATAATATAAAAATAACGAAATTTTAACCTAAATTAATTTAATTTTATTTGAATTCGCTATTTTTGTTACAGTCATTTGTTTACAATATTTTATTTCTTTCTTGCCTAAATAACTCTAGTGGAAGTGGCATACAAGCGAAAACTAACGGTTTCGAACGAATAGAATTACTTGTTAAATATATTATATACTTCGCTCATGTTTAAGCAGTTCAAAATTTTCTCAAAAACGATAAGTTTCACTTAAAGCTCTGCCTTCACTCTTCAATGAAATACTGTAGCTTCAACAGCATCTAAACTATTGTGAATGTTTCTCAGAAGGGATTTATTTAATCTGATTTTCTTTCACCCTCTAAAACTGCCCCTACATGTTCGAGTTTTATATAAAAATAAAATTTTTATTACCAAAAAAACTCCAATAAAACTCTTTCGAAATTAAATACTACTTCAAAAAACCTATACATTAAATATTTGTAGTAAACCTTTAAATATGAAATTTTTAAAAACATGCTTATAAAATTCCAACTTTGATGTAAAACTGTCCTTTTAATTAAATTAACAAAAAATCTTTTTTATAAAAAATTTTCAGATGCCAAAATCTTTCAATTAAAAATTAATTTACTTTAAGACTTCTAAAACTTTAATATTTAAATAAAAAATAGAATTATAGTTTAAATAATTTATTTAATAAAGTTTTAAGCCATGAAAAATTCTGTAAAAATGGATTCATTTAATGTCTCGTCGGTTTTAGGCTAAGCTATTTCAAATCGAACTAATTCTTCTTTTGATGGTTTAGTTCCTTGTTTTTAATGATTCAAGCTGAGCGGGTTTTTTATCACACTTTATTTTTGCCAAGAATAGTTTGCACGGTTACAAGGTTTCCATGTAATTGTATAGTATTAAACAAGTTGATATTTCAAAAAAACTCCGTTTGCTAGCTTGATTATAGCAGGTTTGCTACACGCCCAATCAATCTAATAACTAACAAATCTGACCGTAAATGTTCAATTTTTCTTCATAAAAAGAATAATGGTATTTGTTTAAATTCACTAATAACATATAAACGTAAAGTTCTTAATTACTCTTGGTTCAAGATGTGTCTTGTTTTACTCTAAATACTCTAAAATTTTTTGAGATATCTGAAAATAAGAGAATATTCTTTTATATATTACAAATAAATGTATGTACGTTAGTATAATTGGGTACATACACCTACAATAAAACTATACATATTATGATTATTGAAATTTAGGTTTTTATTATAATCATTTAAACCAGCCGTCGGCAATCTTTTGACGGTTATGGGCAAATATGTACGAGTATATAATACACTTTATTCATTGTTTTTTTCTGACAAATAATAAATTTGCATGGAATGTAATGTTCCTATATCTATTATCTATGATTAAATTCTCAAAACTTTTTTGAAAACTTTTGATAATCGTAATAGCATTTTTCTCTTGCAAGTGGTATGACGGGCCACATTTTGTAGTTGAATGGGTCGCACTTTGCCGAAGACTGATTTAAACAATCCTATTGGATTAACATGGTGTTCTTGAATCAACATTTGTTGCGCAAGACGGAGGTGACATAGAACGGAAATACATAGTTATGTTCGACTTGAAACTTTTGTGTTAGGAATTGTCGTTATGGAGAAACTTATAATTTCTTTTAAAGTTCCGTTTAATTACACTTCTATATATGTATATATTTACAAAGGAAAAAATATTTTTTCCTTTGATTAAAAAACCTCGATCTACGATTCAGTTTGTAAATTGTAAAACTTATTAGTCACACCACTTGACGTTATGAGTTGTCATTCAAACATATTTTCGTTATTTGAATAAAATCAATTTCGAAATTTGATATTCTATACATTTATATACATACTGAAAGACCGGGATTCTGGAATTGTATAATTTATCATCGTTTCCCTTTTATAAATCACATAAAAATACGATAGTATTAGTAGTATTTTACTCCCTCAATTCGAATTTAATATATAAGTAGCTATAAATTATATAATATGTTTGATCTCATATTAATGTTAAATCACGGCATAAAACATGTTAATTTATCAAATAACCAGCCACTAAAAACTTAAAAATCCTTTATAATGTTATTTTTCTGAAACTAAAGTTTTATTTTTACTGAAATTTTTATAGTTCGTTACAGATTTTTTTTTCTCTTTTTTTGATATTGTTAACTAAAGTTTTGATTATAAATTTAAATTCCAATAATTTTTGTCAAAATATCTGAAGAATTTTTACTTTTTCTAAAAGGAGTTTGCTGATATTTAATGACATTTTGTACACAACATATAATTTACTTTTGAAATTACATATTAATATTTAAATAAAGAAAAACTCAACCAAAATATCTAGATAAAAATCTGGGTACTCGCACATCTACTTGTTCACTTAATAATAACTCCCATATCCACTCCATTGACCATATCCACTGTAACCTGAACCATATTGCCAATGATTATAACCGTAACTATCGTATGATTGTTGATATTGTTGCTGTTGCTGACCGCTATTATAGTAGTTTGGAGTTGCACCAGTATTATAGTAATTATTTGCATTGTTGTAAGTGGGAGCACTTACAGTAGCTGTTGTGGATTTATTCTCTTTTGACGAAGTTTTGCTATTGGGGCTACTGCTTTCCCTAAAATTAGAATATTGAGGAAATCGTAAGCAAATTTATATTATATTAGGTTTTTATTTGTTCAATTTTATATATTTTTATATGTTTTAAAATGTTTCTACTAAAAACCTTAATAATAATAAATAAAAAAGAAAATATTGTCATAATTCCAGGAAATATTTTAAAATTAAGTATATGTTAAAAAAATACTGCTATGTATACATACGTTTTCTTTTTAGATTCATTAGCTTTCTGGAGAGCTATTTGTAATGCTCTTTGTGCTTCTTGCAAGCCTTTGGCAGTACTACCAAAATCTTCCAAAAATTCAACTTTTCTTTGGGCAAATAAAACTTTTTGATCGGGATCTATATTATCTCTAGATGTGAATTTGTCCATTATCTCCACAATTTCTTTTTCGTCAACTGTTTCTCTCTGTAATGCTATATCTATCATTTGCAAAGCGATTCTTGTATTACTAGAATCATTTGCCAGTGTATCTCGTAGTATTTGGATACCTTTATCAATATTTTTCAATATTTTGTGACAAAATCTTGCATACTTAATACATAAGCTGCCAGCTATATTTTTGTTTTTTGCGTTTTGGATATAATATTCATATAATTCACCACATTTGTCAAGATTACCCCTCCGTCTTTCTAAATTTATGCGTCGATAAGCAATTTGCAATAAATTTGGACACCGTTCATCTATATTTGTAAGAATTTCAGCCGCTTTGTCGTAATTTAAATGTACCTCCTCAAATGCAGACCACATTAAATGTAAACTAGGTTTATCACGATGATGTATCGTACATGCTCTAGCAAAAGCATCACGCGTTAGATCAATAATCGTTGCATCATTGGGACTTGAACTCAAAGCGGTTTCTAAATAACGTATGAGTTTTAACCAAAAATCGTCGTATAGAGCGCATGCAATTAAACATCTCTCAAATAGTATTAAAATACGTTTTCGGTCGCCTTTTTCTATTTCAAAATCCAAATATTCCTTCCAGTTTTTCAGCTGGCTCCTTTCCAAAGGTTTTACATGAAAATAAGGACGCTTAATACCTTCCTCATATGTCCAACGAGAAGCTACTGCTGAAACGGTTAATTTATGGACTTTACGCCGATTTGATATTATTTTGTCTTTAATCGCTGACATTTCTTCTTCATTTCGTACGTGATCATCTGCCTCATCCGGATCGTCAACAGGTTGTTCGTCACCTGGAGGCGAATCACTATCCTTGCATTTCTTTTCTTTTGCTTTTCTCATTGCTTCTCGAACATCATGACGATGTTTTTTAAATTCATCAACGCTAACTGTTAAAGCAGCTGAATGATTTGTTATCAGATCTTGGAAACTAAAACGTAAAACGGAAATCCGGTTGAATTTAAAAAAGTTTTATTTTACTGTTTTTTTTTTTTCAAAAATCTACTAAATTAAATTTATCTTACTTCAAAATAATTTACGTAAGGCCTATTGAAACTTGATTTATTAATTTATTACCTTTCAAAATGCGAATTATATCCTTGTGTTGGAATCGTTAAAAGCCGGTCATAAATTTTCACAACGAAGTTATAACGTTTTGCTTCAGATTCCCACCTAATATAAAGCTCCCAAAGTTTATCTGATCGAAATTCCAAACCACAGGCATCAACAGCGCGGTTAAATTGTGAGCGAATAAATTCTTCATTTTCTGGATGATTTGTTTTGACGTGATTTAAGTAGTGCATCCACAAATCGACTGACAACGGTATAGCTTTCAATCCGCGCTCAAAAACCTAAATATTTATGTTTTAACGAATCGACTTAGTTTAATTTATATTTTAAAATAAAAAAATTAAATGGGAATTTCCATAAATTAGAAAGCGATTGAGTAATTGTAATACTTAATGAATTTTACATCTTCACTTCAATTTCATTCGCTTTTTTAATTAATTTACCCATTAATTTTTTTATAAAATTTCAGTTATACTTTAAAAATTATTTTACAATACATTGATTTTTTTTTTAATTTTACAATACAATATGAATATACAAGAAAAAAAAAAAAAGATACAACTTATGCGTATTTCATTTTAATCTCATTTCCATACTTACACTACTCCCAAATTTAAAGAAAAATTTTTCAAAAATAAATTATATAATCAGAATTTTTGTTTTTGTAACTTTTAGAATGCTAATTAATCGAAAACAATTTCAAATTATATTCATCGCTAATTTGTCGCGTTTTCAAAAGTTTCGAGAACCGTACACTTGAAATGTGATAAAACTCCTACGCAACAACCACTTTAAATAAGTAATATGTTAGTAAATAATGAAACTTATGATCTATGACTTCGATCATTGACTACAATAAATTTTTAGAAATATTGATATATTAAAGAAAAACTTACTAATTATTTTGATTTCTTTTATTTTTTTTCTTTATTAAATGCAAATTAAAAAAATTTTATAAAAGTTTGTTATTGTTTTTGGATTAACAATAAAGTGTTTCCCGTCGATTTCAAATGATTGCGAGTTAGTTTATATATGATTAAATATTTTAATTGAACAGACAAATTTAACAACAAATTATAAGTTCAACTATAATTATTTACCAACTCTATAGTCTACACCGAAATTACTTCATTTGTATATCCCTTACAAAAGAATCAGTTTATGACACAATTTATTTTACTTTGCAGAAACATATGTGGAACTGGACTAAATCAAAGTCCCTCAAAATAACTAACAATCATTTAAACGACATTTTTTACACTTTTTTAGTTTAACATAAACAACATTAATTATATTTAAAAATGTGCTTTTAATTTGCATTTTAATTATTTTCAAATATATTAACATAACATAACATATCACAAAAAATTCATAAGTAATTATAATACGTTCATGTAAAAATTTCATGGTAAAAATTCTAAATATAATAAAATCTAGTATGTTACAAATACAGTTAATCGCAAAAATATAGAAATTAGTGCCTAGAAGAAGGAGCTCTTGTGTACAACTACATTTACAGCAAACAGTGCCACTGCAGAGCTGTAGGAAATCATAGGTGATATGCATCATAATTTTCTTCGTTTCGTAGTAAATTTTTTAAATATTTTGGGTTTTAAATTTTTAACATCATTTTGTGAAATTGCAGTGTATTTAATTAAAAACAAAATTAGAAAACTATAAGAGAAAAATACAAATATTGGGTGGCATACCTCATAGCATTTTTCCTTGTCGCCTTTACGTTTTTCATAATCAGCATATTTACGCCAATAGCCATAACAATATGGATAATTCGCCAGAAAAGCATCGTATGCTTCTCTAGCAGCTTCAACATCCGTCTAAAATTTATTTTAAATTAATCTAAATCCTACCAACCGTATAACAATTGCTTAATTACCTCTTGATCTACATACTGCAATAAATAGGTCCATCCAGCGAAATCAGATGGATCATGTTTTACAGCTTTCCAATATTTGTCCAATTCTGGGAGTTTTTTTTTCTCTTTCTTTTTTTCTTTAAGTTCTTCTTTCACTAATTATATAAAAAATTTTTTACATTTACATACATATTTACATTTATGTCATATTTATTACCTTCCACTTTAATTTTTTTTTCGGGTACGGCTTCCACGCTTTCTTCTCCAGTTGGACTACCAGGATTATATTCTTCAGCCTTTTCCTTTAGTGCATCTGCTTTCCTTTTAGATGTTTCTTTTTTTGAATTTCCGTTATTTGGTAATTCCTCGTCAGAAATAATTTCAGCATCAGGTGGCAATTCAGCACGTTTAGGAGCAGGTAACTCCTCGTCGGAGACTTCTTCTGCGTCCTTAACTTTAATTTTTGATGTTTGAAATTCTTCATCAGAAACTTCTTCGGCATCTTTTATTTTTGGTTTTTGTGGCGGTGTATTTTGTAATTCATCTTCTGAAATCATTTCAGCATCGACTGTATTGATGGTCTTATCCGTATCATTTCCATTTGGTAAATCCTCTGCAATCGCATTTTCTGATTGAGAAGTTTCTTCTTCAATTACTACTGGGTCTGTTTTTTCAAAATTATCTTTAGACAAACTTTCTTCCCCAACGGAAGGAAGGCTATTAGCATTGTCCCCAGCTAAACTAGCCAACAGAGAACTATCGACAACTTCAACTGTACCAGAATCCGCTACTTCTTCTACTTTATTATCTGAATTATCCGATTGTTGTATGCAACCAATTCCAAACGGGAAAGAAGAACCATTCTCCTCTTCGACGTTACCTGCCAATTTTTCTGCCGAAAGTTGAATTTCACGCATTTCCATGTCTTGTGTCACAATTTCTACCGGTTCTTGTTGATCTTTAATTTGATCACATAGAGGTTCCTGCTCTTGAATCAGTTCGATTTGATTTATTTCATTGATTTCCACATCATTTTCTTGAACTGGCTCATCTTGTTTTATTTCACATTCTATCTCTATTTTTTCTATTTGCTCTTCATATTCATCATTTTCAGTATTTTCCATATCCTGCACATATTCACTGTTTTCAAGAATCACAGTTTCTATTATGGTTTGCTGTTCATCTTCATCCTTGAAACTGTTTTCGTCGTCAATTTGTATCACTTGCGTTTCAACATTCAAATCTACGTTATTTTCTTCAATTGTGATGACTTCGTCCGAGTTATAAATTACTTCTATAATTGGGTCTTGTTCCACCGTAAGATTTTCAAAATCATTGATCGAATGGTCATCCCGTTTTTCTTCTTCTACATGCAAAAGTTCTTCTTCACTTACATCAGCTTCGGCTATCTACAAATTTTGTGAGTTATAAAATTAAATAAAGTAAAGAAAAAAGCTCCTAATCTACGTTGAAATTCAGATGGCCCTTGCCAATCTCCAAAATACATAAAGTTTCAGCTATTAGTGGAACAACGCCACACTAATAGTAGCAAGTTTTTATCATCATTGAGGTTATATCAAGCAAAAACTTGTAAAAAAAAAACACTAAAACCCAAGTGTTTATCAAAAATATATACCTTTCCAACAGCTTTTCTTGTTCGTCTACCCCTCACAGGCATTGCGCTTTGTAAAGATGTATTTGTTTTCCTACCTGAACGGGTGCGTCTTCCACCTAAAATTTTTTTTAAAATATCATCTGCATTTTTTTTTTCATTAGGTAGTCATTAAAATAAATGGCGGCGAACCGGGCTACATTTACTATTTAAAACTAATACATCAAAATAAAACTTATAGAATTAAAAATTTTGTTCAAAAATTAAGAATTATATTTAATTTTCAAATTGCGTCATCTGAAAACACTATTTTAAACCACTCTTTACCTATTTCATCTAAATTTTCTTCCATTTCTATCAAGTATATACCAATTTTTTTAGTTTGATTGATCACTGATTTGAGTATATATTATATGATAATTAATAGGGTTGAGTTTTAAATTTCTTTTAAGATGAACAAATGTCAATACAATTACAACATTCGGGCGCGTTTCGAAAATTTCAGCTATCAAACTCAGAAGGTGAATTCATTGTTCGTCGGTTTTCAGCTGAGCTGTTAAAAATCGAACTATTTTCTTTTTCTTAGTTAATTGGTTAGTATGAAGGTTTTTTTTGTTATGATACATCATACATTTATTACTTTTTTGGCAAGAATAGTATGCAATTGTGTAGTCGAAATTTGATGTTTTAAAAAAACTTCCGTACTAAAGTTAGAATTTGATAACTTTTTCAGAGAAAGGGAGAAATCTCTACTAAAAAGAGAGAGGATTTAAAGATTCAGAAAAATTAAGAAAAAAATACTTCAGTACCAATAAGTTAGAGAACAAGTTGACAAAAAAATTAATTAAAAATATTACGAAAAATATGTTCATGCCAGTATACACGGTGAATCGATGTCCGGCGGGTCTAATTATGGTTTTGTACTATTATTGGAATACATCCCCCATTTCCGATAAATGGTACATTTCCGTTTTAGTTACTTTCTTTAAACGCATTAGTAAATGAATTACTTACGTTACAGAAAATGAACAACAATATGACAAAAAATAATTTAAATTGAACCTCTCTCCGTATGTTATTATCCTCCGAATTTCGACTTTCTGCGTTTTTAAAAATAAAAAAAATTAATACTCAATAAAGTGCTGTTAGAATTAGATTTGGTATAATTTCGAATAAAAATTAGCAAATAAGTATTAATTTAACAAAAGAATTGTATTTATTTAGCATCTTGTTCTTTTTTCATATAAAATTTGAAAATGAATTTCATTTTTTTTTTTCTTAAAAGATTCAGATTCAGGAAAATTTCAACTTCACTTGGATTTTATATTTCTTGGTTTCTGAAGCAAGCACTATATTAGTTACATTGATAACTTAAGCTAGGTTCCTGCTGTTATAAGTTTACTCAGTTTTCTGGTTGTGGTATACCAAAAATTTAAGTTGAATTCAATATTTTGTCGTATTTAAATTCAAATGAGTTTTTTCATAAACATATACTGTAGCATACGAATATACTTAGAAAAAGCTTGAGGTCTTTTCACGAGGCAAAAATTTAAAAAAAATAATTCATTTAAGTTTTAATAAAAAGTCTTGAGGCTATGTGTAACTCGATTAAAAAATCACTGACAACATCAAAGTAATATAGTTATACAAAATATAATCACTGACAAAGTCAAAGTTAAAATTGATGAATGTCAAAAAATGAAATAATTCTTGTTGTAAAAAACATACGCATTATTTTTACTAAGCTATTAACAAAGCTCTTTATTTTTTACTAATATATTAAAATTTAGTACAGTCCCACAAAGGAACTTTTAATTATTAACGCAGTCAAAACTAGAAAATCACTAATACGTGTCACTTTTAATTTGGCCAAGTGTCATTTAAATCAATGCATTCTAATCAACTGTGAAAACGATGAAAGTTATAGACTATATAATTTTTTTTCACACATACCTAACTGTGAAAATACAAGATGGCAACACTTATGTTTTTATGCCTATGATTATAATATCGTCTTGGCTAAAAGTAATTGATTCTTATCATCTATTGGCAATACCCAGTTTTTATTTTTTTTTACTTGTGTATAATGAATTTTCTAAGTTTGCGCAAAAAAGAAAAAGTGTGACCGAATACGCATTTTTTTTAGTTAAAAAATTTTCGTCTACAAAGCAATTTTTAACTAATTTATATAATATTTGTATCCATTCATTTTGACCCATTTTTCATTATATTTAAGATTTATGCTTAACAATTGTTCTTTAATATTCTATAAGGCTATATACAAAATTAACAGCAAATGATAAGTGTCGCAATATTTAATATGTATTATAGCATACAAGAATATTATTGAAAACTTTTATTTCGAAGGAATAGGAAAAAAATTAATGAGGGAAATTAAAATTTAAAGAATATAGTTCTATATGAACTATATGCACGAAAAAAATTAAAAAAAAATATATTTTTGTTAAATTCAGTAATGTGGATGCGTAATATACATATGTACAAAATTAAAAACACACGAAACATTTGGCTTAAATTGGAACACTAAATTTTCAAATTATGCTGACTAATGAAATATTCTGGCTACACTGTTAAACAAACATAGGGCTGAAAGAGTAGAGGCATATTATATATTATATATTCTTATAAAATAAAGCAATTTATAAAGTGAATACTGTTGAGCGAAAATTAGAGACGTTTAGAAATATATTTCTTCTTTTTCTTTAATATTTATTTTATGTAAGAAATTTTATAAAAGATTTTGTTCTTAACATAAAATTTTAATCTTGAAACTTTGAGTGAAGAGATAAATTCTCTTATGAATTACATAAAAAATAAAAATATCTTTATAATTTAATTAAAGTTTCTGAACAAAATTTAGTTGAGTGGTAGTAACCAATCCAATCGGTTAGTATCGCAGTAGTAGTTTTTCGTGGTGTAAACGTCTAGATACGAAAGCGTAATTTTGGGAAGATGTTTCATTTAAAAACTTTGGCCAAAAGTTCTTTGGTTAAGCAGGATGTTTTTAGCGTAGTTAACAAATCGTTGCCGATTGTTGTAAACCAAGTTAGAAATTACACTATTCCAGATAGACTAAAGGATGTTCCAACTGCTAAAGATCCGGCATTTTTTGATATGGTTGAATATTTTTTTCATCGTGGGTGTAAAGTAGCGGAAGATAGTTTTGTTGAAGGAATAAAAGGAAAATACACTTTAGAAGAAAAACAAAAGAAAGTACATGGAATCCTTATGATTATGCAACAATGTGATCATATTATTGAAATTGCTTTCCCAGTTCGCCGAGATTCAGGTCATTACGAAATGATAACAGGTTACAGAGCTCAACATAGTACACATCGTGTTCCCACAAAAGGAGGTATGTATGTAAAATTATGTTTTAAATTAGGTTACCAATTTTTTAATTAAAAAAAATATGGAAAGACAGAATTATGTAATAGTCATAGTTGGCAAATTTATACTCATTGTAGGTACATATATACGAATGAATAGTTCAAATACAAATCTATATTATGTATTAACCTTCTTTTTGGAATCATAAAATTTAACAATATTACATATGTATGTATTTATTTTGACTAGAAATAGATGATACATATTACCGACTTTTATTTTTTTGTCAAATTTTAATTCAAATTTTGGGGAAAATATAAAATGAGGTTAATATATATGTAAGTTTTTATTTCAAGACAACAACAAAAGAAAATTGAACAATTAACTATGTAATTTACAAATTATGTTAGGCATTTTGCGGTTATATGTATGTACCTACACACATATGCATGTTACTTTCATGTGAAATACATAGGTATATTTTTTTGTGCTAAAATTGCGAATTGGAAGGAAATATGTATACTAATTGTAAGGATCGTGAATTACTATTTTGTCGCATTTATATAAAGCATAGTTTTGATTAGTATTTTTATTGTGAATCACTCAGACATTCAAGAATGTTAAGAAAAACTTAATTTATTTTTCTAATTATATCCATTGTACCTGCCTACCTATAAAAAATTTTCCCGAAAAATTTTTGTTTGCAATATGAAAATAGAAATGCAATAAAATGGCGTATGGCCTTCCTACAACAAAAAATTAAAAACACCATCTGGACTTGATGTAAACCACGTTTTTATAGAATCGTTTGTATACTGTTAGATTAGTTTAGTACCTACCTTATTTTAAAAACTTTTAATTCTTCATTTAAACAAAACTATCCGAAAAAATGTTTAAATTTGAAGGTTTTTAGGATTGGTTTGTTTAAAGTTCGATTATATTTCACGGTTTATATAACTATTCTGAATACTATGAATTACGTACATATTTGAAATATTACTACTTTGTTATATGCACGATAAAGTATTCGCCTGTGTAAGTACACAAATTGAATTTTTTAAAAGCGACTATTAAAAAATCACAAAAAAATAAAAATTTGCAAATATGTAGTACAATCCTGAAAATCCTGTATTCATAGGCATAAATCCTGTATTCCAAATTAATGATATTTAAAGTTATGTTACGAACAAAATTCTGTTAACGTTAATTTATTTAATTAGATTATTTTTATAAACGTGTTATTATTCATACTTAACTTGCTTAAAAAATAAAATACAGTTTCTAATAGTTGCAAATAAAATGAGCATTTATAATTAGCAAATTAATAATTTCAAAAAGTCATTTATTAAATCTTCACAAATCACATAAAAGAAACATTTTTCATATGATTTCTATTTCATCCTGTAAAACGTTTATTTACATTAACATTTAGATACCATATAAAGAAATTTGTTATATTAGATAAGTAATGATTAAATTACGCAATATTCTTAAGCTTGTTGCTTACTGAAATTTTTAAATAAATGTATTTTTTTTATTAAATCTAAATCCCATTTAATAATAATTAACAAAATAAATAAAAAAAATGCTCTTATCGATTACTTGCTAAGTGCTTTTTTTGGAATACAAAAAAAAATATGTATTTGAACCGAAATGTACAAATTAAATTTTTTAATAGTTATAATTATAAATAATCACATGTGTTTATATATACATATATGTGATTGTATATTATGTTCTTAATATAATTAACATATGTACATAATTGTAGAAAACAACATATTTATGTCGACCAATAAAAAAACAAATGTCTTCATTTCCCTTACTTAATATTTTCGTTTGTTTATAAGATAACGAATGTCACATGATGGTCAAGCCACCCTTCGGAAAAATTTACTTTACATTTTTCTGTACTTTGGTGTTATTTACAAATTGTTCAAAAATTACTTATTTGCGTAAAATTTGAACAATATTTTTAATAATTTGAGATTAATTGGCTTTAAACAAGTATAACATTTATTAAATACATATTAATTAAATAAAAAGAGATAAGTGCTTAACTGACGAAAGTGAAATTTAAATAATTTGTCTTTTGATTTATTTAAGCCTTATCTTAGTTAAGTAACAGAATAAAAAATAATGTACATATTGCTACATAAGTATATGAAATATATTTTGTATAAAGAGCAAACAGAACAATTAATTGTCAGTAGAGAAATCAGTTGCTTGTTTTATCAGCTGCTTTATTTTAAGGTTTGTACTCGTATAATGCACCGTATTTGAAAAAAAAAAAATTTTTATTAGTTGAATGGACGAATAATTTTGATATTTACATAATATCTTTTGCGTATATTTTATTTTGTGTTTACAACAGAAGCAATAAATTAAAAACTGAAAATTATTTTTTAGATTTTGTTTGCAAAAAAGTCCTAACTTTGCTTTAAATACTCAGAAAAGATATTAAAGGAATAGAATAATAAGAAATAGGTTTCGAGTCACAAAACTTTTAGTACTGCGTCTTAATCTTCATATGTGAAGATTTTATAATTAAGTAAGAATTGGAAGTAAAGGTTTCCCAATATTAAATATGTTAACTTATTATGTTTTTGGTATTCAAATGTTATGCACCTAATTCAATACGAGTTTTCATTATATTTTTGTTTATTCTAATTGCTTATATAGTCACTTTTTAACTTAATAATGTATTATTTATATGTACTTATATGTTTAAACTTTATTGTAATTGAAGGCAGATTGTGGAGAATCATTTTTAAATTAGCAATTTTGAAAAAATATTCTGCGCATTGTTCAAATTTTATTCGATTTAATAAACAAGCTTATATAGTTATGTCAAATATGTGTTGCCATAAAATATAAACATAATGAAAAACTAACCATATTGGTTTTGAAACAAAAATGAATTTATGAAACGGTATTTGTATTTTGTAATTTATTACGTAATTATATTTATTTTTATCATTTTTTTTTATTGCCTTTTACGAAATGAAAAATTCCTACCAGAATTAGCACCTACTTCTTTTATGATCTCGACATTTATGGAATTTCAATAATTGATTGAAGTGATTGCATTCATTCTATTCCGTTATTTAAAGTCACCATTATGACTTGAATTTAGTGATACTCTAATTTTCCTTATATTAAGTCGCTTAACATATATGTACATACAAAATCTGCATTACACGAATCTTCCCGCGATGTACTCTTTAGCCCAACGATGTTCTTTTAGGCCTGTTGCCCAACCGGACAATCGCATTGATATTAAAAAGATTGTTCTTATTATCCTAACAATCGCCATCTCAATTTGTCGTGATGTCCTATGTCGACACTAAATCATTTTTGCTATTTTATAATGTCAATCAGAAATTGAATCTAAAATATGTTCTACCGTGAAAATGTTTTGATGTCAATACCATTCTACAATTCAATTCCAATTAATAATTGTTAAAGAGAAATATGTATGTAATTATTCTTAAAAGAAATAATTCGATATTTTTTTTAAATTATTTTCGAGTTCTATTTATCTTGGTATCATTAAACAGAGAAAATAAATCAATTAAATATTAGAATCACTCATATACGGCAGAATAGTAGATAAGTGGATTTCCTACGTTTCTCATGTGCCCGATATCTACATATTCAGAAAAAAAAATGTCATAACAAAGGGAGTAAAGAATACTTTGCTTAATTCTTGTGTTCGCATAGTTTATTTAAATCTATGCAATTATGAAAAGCCTTGACATTTTTTCTCAAAAAAATTAAGGTGCTTAAATTTTTTATTTATTTTTTTGATTTTTCACTAAACTAACAAAATTTTTTTAATTAATCGTTCCTAATACTTTGTATCCATGATAACTGCAATAACATATATATATATATATATACATACATATATAATATATGTGTACATACATAATAACTAACATTTTCATTAGTACAATTTGCATAATAAGAAAATTATAAAATATCATTTGAAAACGTTTAAAAAATTAAAAATGTATACATTTTTAAATTCTAAAGTCAAAAGTAAAAAAAAAATTTATTGTCACCTCATCAACTATCAAAATATCGAACTTATGTACGTCAATACCATGAATTTTAATAATAATCATAAACATTATTTTTAGTATTCGTATGCATGTGTGTGTATATATTGGCAATTTACTTTTGTTTTTCATAATAGCTAGTCCGAAAAATTTTTAAATAAAAAATAATAAAAAGAAATATTCTTATTTTGTCTCTAAATGTGTACATGTGTTTGTATGTGTTTTCTAGTATAATTCCAAAGAAAACGAATTTTTATAGATTAACAAAATTTTGTGTAGCTTTTAAGATGTGCTTCCTTTATTTAAACAAGTTTTAACTAACCATTTATTTCAGTTATGTACATAAACCTACACTGTAAAATGTTTTCTAATATTAGAAATAAATAAATATAGAGTGAGATATTTCTTCCTCAAATAATAATGAAAATATTTAATTTTGTTAAAATTGAAATTCAATAAAAATGCAAGTTGCTGCTTAAAACTTGCCTTGTTTATATAGTAAATATAAATAAATTAGATATTTTTCCCTGACGTCGAAATATCAGTGGCAGCTACTGTTATAAGTTCATCAATTAACATATTTTACAAACTGAATAAAATTCTAATGTTATGGCTTCGTTAAGCCTTCTATAAACGGAGTATGTTTTATTGAATAATAAATACGAAATTTCATTGATTAAAAATTTCGTTGTGTACTTATTTTTTTCTCTCTTTTAATTTTTCTCGTATCTGTTTTTCTATCAAAATATTTTATAAAACATTATTATAGGTAATTCCAAAAAGAAAAGGGAACTGTCAATAATAGATAAAAACACTTATTTTCTATTTGATCCTTTTGGCTAGGAGTACTCTACAATTGCTTTTCATATGATTACAACAAGTGTCAATAATATTTTTATCCTTAATGGCATTACAAAATTTACTTAAAATAAGTTGGCTTTTTTTATGAGCCATGTAATTA